TTTTGGGGAAAAAAAAAAATTTTTTTTTTTTTTTTTTTTTTTTTTTTTTTGTCTACATAAACACATAAAATATTGTGTAATATGATGAAACACGCAACTCGAAAATGAAAATATTTCCCTTTACCTGCAATAACACGTTTTACTCGAAAACTACAGTTCCTAAATTACAGAATAATAACATTGTTACCTAATATTCCGGTGTTGGTTTTATCCGGTGGTGTATCCAAAATGTCTAAAAGGGAATGGGGAAATAAATAAAATACCCGATTGAAAACGTATATTAAATATATATAAACGTATATATAAAATACATCACCGGGTAAATATTTCATATATTTTTGAAAAATTCGCAGCAATTTTACTGCCTGTACCGATAACTGAAAAAGTATTTTCAAAAAAAGAAAAAGCCGTTTTATACAGAAAAAGCGTATGGAATTTCGGAAACAAAGTACCATCAGGCAGCTATATAGTATAGATACGGTAACGAACAAAATTGTTTTATATTATTATTTCAATAAATGCAATTTTACACGGATATATTAGAAATATAATTAAATAGTTTCCGAAAATTCATCTGCTGTAAAATAAGTGTTAAAAGTAAATAAATACGGCCAACGAAAAGAGATGGCGGCGGGCACGTAACCCGCGTATCCCGTGGATAGCCAGTGGCGTATCCACGGGAGTTTTATCCAGCCAATGGCGAGGTAACTATTTCAATCGGCATATCTTTTGAACTCGTCTATACCTATATGTATATTATAGCCGTACGATTTATTAGAGCGATGACCCGGTTTATTTGTTGGATGTGGCGCTGTTTACTGTTGGTTCGGTACAACTTTTTGTTTGTGCAAATTCATCTGTGCCCACTTCTGCGGTGTATTTTATAGGTATATAATATCAGTGTTATTGATTTATTGAATATATAATCATTTTTATTCGTTTTAATTATTATAGCCGTTTGGTAAAATAAATATATTATACGTATGTTTACCGTAGTGACGATTATTATAATATTATTCCGTTTTGGAATATATTATAACGTTTTGATTGATGAGACTCAGATCCAATAATTCGGGAGTTTAATTAGAAAACAATTTCGGTAGAGGGGGGAGGGTAGGCACTAATTTTTTTTGTATTTTTACCCATACTATTTTTTAGAACGATAAAATACTCCAATTAAAAATTCAAATCTGTTGTTTGTAAAAATAAATTACGTTATATTATATTTGTTTTCTCGTGTAATAGAATAAATTATGAATAAATAATAAATAATAATTCTTAATATCGATAAATTATATGGGAGTTTGTCCGTTTTGACAATGGACTGCGATGGGTTTTCAAGCTCCTAAGCTTCTTCTCCTCCTCCACGTGTTGTTCTCGCTGGTCTCGTTGGGTGCAGCTTCGGCGATGGCACAGCTGTTCTGGTCGGTCTTGACGAAGAAAGTTTTGCTCAACTTGTATTTGTCCAACACTCCGTAGGCCTTTTGCATGACTGTGCCCGGAGCCAACTTTTCACGGGTCAAAATCCATGCGTTCTCTGCGCAAAACAAGAAATACATTTATTAAGCATTTTTGATAAAATTAACAACGACTGCGGCAAGTGTACTCTGTTTATACTCACGGGTGTTGGCGACTCCCAAAGACGAGCACGACCATACGACGGCGAACGAATCGTAGTCGGTTTCCAAAATCATTTGTTCGGTGGTGTACGGCACTGAAAAACACACGAATCTTGTTATAATATAGACATAACGTGGAATTAGACGAGGAACTGTATGCTTAATAGATATTATTGGGCGCGAGATAAAGAGAAAACAGGTAGAGTGCACTGCACTGCTTCATGCACGGATGAAACAACACCAAAAATCACAAAAACGGTACTTGAAATCCCAATAGGCGAAATACCGCTGTTTGAAAACAACGAATTCGCCGGGAAAATTGCGTTAAGGAGAATTTCGCAGACTTCTCAAAGTTAGAAGATATGAATGTATTCTACGCTACAGACGGTCGAGAAAATAAAACGTAATTTTTATGTTTTCAATGTGATCTCGTTGGCTTTAGCGGACATTTTTTTTTTTTTTTTTTTTATATTTCAGTTTACTATAATATTTGTTTTAACCGTTGGCCGATAAATCGCCGAAAAATAATTGAATTGCTATGAACGAGGGGGGTATACGAATTTTCAATACACGCATATGTATTAAACTATATACTTACATGCTTATAAACCGTATACAAATACACGGAGTAAATATAAAACATATAAATTACCGGGCAGTGTCGAGTACTTGACGTTCATTTTGGATTCGGCTCCTTTGACGATCAGTCTGATTTCACCGTCCAAAACGCGTTTCACTCCGGTGCTATAACATACACATGATTTATACGGAATTATTATATGAAACGGTAAATATCCAACGGATTTCGGATTCACAATAGTATAATATACAGTGCGTATGGATATAACTATTCAATGGTTCACGTACAATCTGTTCATGATTTCGTTGGAAACCAGGAATCTGCCGTCGACAGCTTTCGTGTAGTTTGTTTTCACGCAACGAGTTCCGATTTCGAAAATGTTCACGTAGTGTTCGGCTTCGTACCACGTTCCCAAATACTGCAACACAGATACCGCACACGGTGATTACTATATTCGCGTTTGATCCGGCGGTATTAGTTAGCGTATTGTATTGTTGCGCTGCGCGGTTCGGTTTAAGGTAGCAGTAGTATTTACGCTTTACGAAATTCTCGGGTAAAATAATAATGTTGTTCTAACGGTATTGCCGTTGATGTGTGCAGGCCGCCGTCGATACTCGACACTCCGAATGGCGCGAAATATTGTTTCGGGCGTAACGATTTGAACGCAATACCGGTAAAACTCGTTATTAATATTTTTCGCGTTGACAAATGTTGTTTGAAACCCCCCACCCCCACCCCCATTGCGATCGCGCAGTTTTACGCGGAAATTTCGTATGGGTTATTGTTTAACGTGTCGGCAAAACAGTGCCTAAAATAAAAACCAACAATACGCAGTGTTAGTATTAAGGGATCGATCATACGGCGGGTACGGGGAAACGTTTACAGGATTCGGGTGCGTCGGTCGTTTCCGCGTTCGGATCGTTGACTTTCTGTTTCCGCCAAAACGTTGAAGGTTCGATATCCGACCGATGACCGCGGGCTCGGAAAAAAAACGATCGATAATACTTAACGGTCCGGCGACAAACGACAATACGTTAATAACAATAATATAATATGCGCCAAGAGAAACGATTGGAAAATAAAAAAACAAAAATAAAAACCCCCGCGGGACCTCGCGTATTGAACGGGAACACCCGCAGACCGAAAACTGCAAGTAGCAATAACAATAATTTTATTACGGCGGCGACGCCGACAATGGACCCGGGCGTTTATAATATATATTCAATTAAAATCTCTTTCGCGGCCGAGACGCGCTCTGGTAGCCGACTACGCCTGTGCAATAATATTATTGTTAATATTACATTGTTCTAGAGAGACGTTTCCGGGGGCCCGAAAACGGAATTTACAGGCGGTATATCGTTGAAACGCGAGAAACTACACGCTCGGACGCCGGTGCAGTAAATCGAACATGCGGGCGTGCGCGGGATTCTTTTTGCTGCGTGTGCCGTGAAAAAAAAAAAAAATGAGCCGTTATTGCGTTATTGCCTGTATCCCTCTCCCATAAAAAAGAACGCGACGAATGCGAAATATCGATTCATCAGAAATATGTTTCACGAAAACATTATTACATATGTATCAACGTATAGATAGGCGACCGTAAAAAAGAAATTGTTTTGAAAAAATGTTTACAACAAATTATAATATCGCTGAAACTTTCAAAAAAAAAAAAAAACAACTTGATATTATCATTATCATACGATAGACCCCGAGACGTTGGCGGGTAATATCACGGTTAGCGGTTGCCGGTCGGTTTGATTTATTATTGGTTATTCGATGACGATTTTTCATGTTCCGCGGGTCGGCCCGAAACGGGTAAATTCAATTTTAAGCTCGCGGGCCCCGGCCGTAGATAATAAAGAAATGGATAGGTCATTCCCGTAACAATTGTAAATGAAGCGACGTTCCCGGAGGGGCGGAAAACCGAGGCGATTTATCATTCGTATAGATAAAACGCCTCGCTTCGAAAATGACTGTACCCGACCCTCTCGGAGAAAAAACCGACAAACTACGAACACGGCCTGTCTTATTGTCTATTGCCTCGTTGCGTACGGCCGCGGCACACTTGGCGCATCGCCGCGTCGACGAACCGAATGCTTACTCTGTTCATGTCGAAGTCGGGCTGCGAGTCGAAGTCGGGACATCCGCCGAATCCGGGCACCTGGCACGACACCATGGCGGCCGACGTGAACACCAGCAACAGGACCAACTTCTCGTTGAACGACAACATGGCGGCGGAGACGGTCGGTTCGGTGGTCAATAACAACTATCAAGTGATATCGTTCCGGTACGGCGTACAAGACGAGTGTGCGGATCTCCGGCGAGCCCGACGCCGTTTTATACCGTTCCCGGCCGATCCGGGAGACGGCGGCGGCGCTCGTCCGGAAGTTGCAGGTCCGGTATATTGTGCATAATAATAATAATAATAAATTCGAACGGCCGCTCTCGTATACCGGGTCAATACCGGGCCGCCGCCGCCGTGTATACCTAATAAATCGTATCTCGTCGTGCGTGTGCCACACACATTACACGCGTGTTGTGCTGCAGGTATTATAACGTGTACCTACGCGTACGAAATAACATTATAATAATAATCTACATTCGGACCTGATAATAATTCAGTCCGGGTTCGGTTGTCCGGGGCCGGAGGACAGTGGCGGCCGCGGCAGCGGCCCGGGTCCCGCAGAGCCGGTGGTACAGTGGGGCGGCGGGCGGACTCGAGGCGCGAGCACGGAAAGTACGGCGAGATGAAACTATTATAGTTTCCCGGAGCTGTTCGGCCGTTTCCCGGCGGCGGAGGAGGCCGCGAGCCCGCCGCCGCCATCGGATCGCACGACATCGTGGGGGCGGTCGACGAACTCCGTCGCGGATACCGGTTTCCGAGTTGACGTGCCCGCGCAACGTATTATACCCGTACAACGTTATTTTTTTTTTTTTTTTTTTTTTTTTTTTGTTTTTTTTTTTATAAAACGCAATGTCATGCAGAGCGTAAAATACGCGGCCCCGCAAAACCCCTCGGCGGCTACGACGTCGCCCGGTACATAAAACGTAACACACGTATATTCGTGACCCCGTAACGGATTCCGCGTAACGGGACCCGCGAGATGGGCGAGATCGGGCGGTCGACGGTGGTCGAAAAGTTTAAAGTCTAGTGTTAAAAGTCACCTAATTATTTTATTGTTTTTTTTTTTTTTTTTTTTAAACAAATAAACTTGACTGGTTCGAAAAATAATAATAATAATAATTATTATTATTTCTACGAGCAATTTTGCTCCGATTTACGAGCTTTTATAGCCACTTCTTTGATTGTCCCGGGAGTTTTTATAATAAATGGGAAAAAACGTTGGGAAAACGGGAAAATGTACGAAATTTATTATTTTAAAATCGTAAATATTACAGCCTTTCAAACCATGTAAAACCGAACCCCGTTCAGAATCGTTTTTCGTTAGAAAATATTAATTGTTGCGTACAAATATATATTAAGTTCTCCTCTATATCCTACATTTACAACTTCTCTCCTATAACAGTGGTCCATCCGTCGTACGAAGTATGTCCGTATCTTTTTTGCATTTATTTTCAACGAAAATTATGCGTATTTTTGCGAGAATATCATTATTATCTTATCACAAAACCAAACGGACATCCGGCCGATACAAGGATTATGAATCTTATTCTATAGCAAGTCTACATAAAACTAAACATTATTAGAGTAAAAGACACGTTTATGAGTATAAAGTAAAGGGTAATTTTTAACTTTTCTAATTCATCATTTTCCCGAACATTTATAACTCGGTTACTCAAATTCATTTATATCATACAATTAACTTTAACATAGCTTTTGTTTTGGGATAACTTAGCTTCCTAGTTACAAAAATTGATCAGTACGATGGGTTAGCCAATGGGTTTTCCGTGATTCAAGTAATTACCTAACCTAATATATTTCACACCCAGCGAAATCCGATCGAGTATTGTAGATGTAATACGGTCCCAACGTGTCGACAAATTTTTTCGGAAACAAAAATTATCGGACGTTTTTGATTTGGTTCGAGTTCTCCGGGTCATTTGAATGGATACGATTTTTTTTTTTTTTTTTTGAAAATATTCAATTTTTGATAGTATCCACTGCGCGATATGGCGTTTTCGGTCAAAATAGAAGTGTATCAAGATCATCACGATCTATTTTCAGACCTTGTACCTACGTAGAATAATAATGTATGAAAAATAATGCACATTTATCATTCTCTGATACAAACGGTTTTTTTGAAATGTAACGCATTTATATATTTGAAGATTTGGACTTATATATAATACACACACGTATTAGGTTCAAGAGAAGAAGAGCTTTAATCGATTTTTAAAATAATTTTTTCTCTTTTATTTTATTTTTCGGTCTGAATTGCATCAGTGTATATATTTTTTTTTAAATTAGTGTACACTGTATTTAAGTGTATATTTTATATTAATTTATGTATAAGTGTATGTTTTTTTTTTCCAAATTTGACTTATTTGTATTGAAAACCATATAAAATTAACTTCAGTCCTTCTCCCCGGGACCGAAAAATATATACCTACGTAACGAATACAACATAGAAGTTTTTTAAAAAAAAATAACATAATTGTAGCTTGCCAAAAATTAGAAAAATTTAGAAATTAGTATTTTATGTAAGAAAACAGAAAAGAGGTGGATCCAGGACAAAATAAGGGGGACTATTTTTAAAATGTATATTATATGGGACGCATTTATGACGAGCTCAATGATGAATCAATAAGTTAAGAATATGTTGAAAAGCAAACGGTGGAGGTTGATCGCCCTATCGAACTTCCTGGTTCACTGCAACAGAACCTTATTGAAACTTATCTATTCATTGACATTGAATTAAGAATGATAATATGATGTACTCCAGCAATAAATTGTTCTCAAGAGTTTCAGTAAAGATCTATTTGAGATCAACCATGGGCGAAGATAGACCATATGTATTAGTTGTTCTCAACATAGAATCGGATCTTACAAAGAAATTGGACATTAAAGATTCCATTGAAAAATTTGCTTGTTGTTTTACGATTAAGAAAAAAAATTTAACCATTGTATGGTACCTATTAATTTTTATAATTTTATTCATATCGTACATTATTATTTATGTATTATATTATGTTATTATTATGTAGGTTAAAGGAATCAAATTTTTTTTAGAAGGAGCGTAAGACCTAGGATGAAAAAAGTCTAAATACGGTTCTGTAGGTATTTGTTACTTTTAGAAGGAATAATAAAAATAATTTTGATAAAAAAAAAAAAACAGATTTATTTTAATTTTCTTGTTCTGATATTAAAATATGTAAACTCGTTGGTTATTCTTCAATTTATTCAAACATTTTGTTTGAATAATTTACAGGGAAAATTTGAGGTTTCACGAGGTGGCGAAAAATGATAGGTAATTTGATTGCGCTTATATAATGATCGGTTTTGCGAAACATTAAAATTAAATCGAATTAATTTTGTATAAGTGTATTGACTTTTTATATTAAAAATGTAAACACGAGACAATCAAAATACCATGATTACGTTCAGCGTTTTTGGCCTTTTCAGGGAGAAAAAATAAACGTATAATATATTTTACGTTTAATATATTTTTCATTTTTTACTCCGAACTGTGCGTTTAATATTATAAAGTACCTGGCTGTGTCGCATCATATTATTATTATGATAATACGATCCCGAAAAGAAAACCGTTTAGGAACACGTTATTATAATCGGATTCTGTTTACATTTTTATTATAATTCCAATTTCATTTTTTCGTCCTCCGCGCAGTGTTTTTCGAATATTTGATATTTAAATATAGATAGGAAAATGATGTCAAGTTTTTCTTTATAATAAACGGAATTTGTCGACATCGCTACATTTCAGTGATGCAAAATATATAAATTTTTACATCCCGATACCGATTGTCGCACCGTTAGAAAACGAAATAGTATAATCCGCTGATATATTATGATGACCATTGTATACGTATCGAGTACAGCTCTCCGCTGAAAGAGTCTCAACATTCTAATTAAAAAAGAAAAACCAATTCAAAATGCGTTTTATGAATATAGAGGCACCTGCGGCTATACGCGCAATCGGTAAATCTCGTCTCGTGCGCCGAAGTTTTCATTCCTTTTTTACACACACACACACACACACACACACACACACACACACACTCCAATAAAATCTAACGGAGAGTTGTAAAGTAAACGGCCCTTCGCCTTCCGATCCGCGTCCGGATAATATTATTTACTACTCTATACAGGTGACACCCACATACGTATACGCGCGGTCACAATAATAATAATTCTCAGTTGACCTACAATATGTTTTTCGCCGACAAACTTGAACGCGCATGATTATATTATTAAATTTTTATTGTAATATTTTTATTACCGTTTTCTTTTTTTATTCCGCGCGCACGTTAAACGCTCCGGTACGAACGCATGTCCGTCGTGACGTTGTTGTTTCTCGACGACTATTTGCGGGTCACGAGTCAACGTCAAAACCCCCCGACAAATCGGTAAAATGTGAGATTTTTTTTTTAAGAGGTTTTGTGTATCCAAACGGTCACACAGTGGAGTCGAAATTTGCTTACTACGTATCCACCAGAAAATAAGAGCGAAGATAAAAAACAATTTTAATAATATTTTAAATGTACCAATCGATTTAAAAAAAAAATATCCTATATCAATACATTTTAGATAATAAACAATATCCAAATAATTTATATTTTTTAATATGTCTATGTCTAATACTAACTCATTTTAAAAAAAAATCTCCTATTAAAATAAATTATTTCTATGTAAAACGACCAATTTGTGTAATTTTTTCTCTATGTATTCCTTCATTTTTTTTTTTTTTACATGTTCAATTGCGTTTTACGTTTTTGCATTGTGATTTTACTTGACGATTACTTCGGATTCGAAACCGGCCGTACAATACACATATCATAATACTTTAGGTAACGCATTTATTCATTTATATTTTTAAATACGAGTAATCAATAAATTATTGCATTAGTAGATTTCGTAACAAAATATTGTGTTCTATACAGTAAATTTTCGCTCTGGTGGAGGAGGAGATAGAGTGATTAAGTTAATTATAAAATCCCTATGATTTTAATTTTATTTATGTAATGGACGACTAGTTAAAAATTTTAAAATTTTAGATTCTGTGTATAGGTATATTATAGTGAAAAACAATTATATTTTTTATCCTCTCGGACAAACACTTGTTCAATTAAATGTTTCAAATTGTTTAAAGTGCAACCTAAAATAAACCAAAATA